GGCCGACCCCTCGCTGCTCCGCGGCGGCGCGACGGCGTTCGTGCGCGAGTGGCTCCGGGGCCTGCCGCGCGCCGAGGCGGTCGCTGCCGCCGCCGCCGTCGGGGCGGTTGCGGTCGCTGCCGCCGTCGTGGTCGTCGCCGCGGTGGCCGCCGTTGTCGTCGTCATCGCCGCCGCCGCCGTCATCATCGTTGTCGTCGTGCGTGCGTCGTCACCGCCACCGTCGTCATCGTCGGCGGCCACGACGAGGGGGAGGAGGAAAAAAATGGAAGAAGGGGAGGAGGAGGGAGGAAGAGGGGAGCTCAGAACGAGGAGGAGGGGAGGTAGAGCGTGGAGGACAGGAGGATCAGAAGTTGAGAGCGGGGAAAAGGAGGAGGACAAGGATGATCAAGGGATGAGAAGGGGGACGGGGCAAAGGAGGAGGGGAAGAAAGATGAGGAAGAGGAGGAGGGAGGGAGAGAAAAGAACAGGATGTTTCAGAGAGAGGGCGTTTTCAGGCAGCTTAGGATACTGTGGGGACCCGTTCGTGGCCACCTTGTGCACCGGCTCCTCCACCTCCGCCCCCTCTCCCCCATCCCCCCTTCCCGTCCTCCCACGGTTCATTCCGCCCCTGTCTCTCATCCTCCCCGCCCCCATCCCTCACACTACTCCTTCCATCCTTGTCCCTGCTCCTACTTCACCCCTCCCCCGTGCAGGGCTGTTCCTTTTCACCTTCCCCGCTGCCCCCGCCCCATCCTCCCCCTCCGCCTTCGGCCCTGCTCGCATGCACTGCCAAGGAGGCACTCTCGAAGGCATAACTTTTACCTATACGACCGAGACTTCCCTTTGAATGCAGGGCTTGTTTGAGGCGCAAAACAAATGAAGTAGGTTTAGAGTAGCTCCTGAAGAAGGTCGGCGAAGTAGGTCTGCAGCGCGCCTGGCAACAGTGGTCGGCGCATGTAACTCGAAGGGAAAGGATGGCGAAACCGATTGCCGCGAGAAGCTTTCAGGGGAAAGGAATGCGACATTCATGTGCAAAAGTAGCTTTCCAGGGAAGGTTGTTGGGAACACAGCATCAAAAGTAACTTGTCGGGATCGGGTCAGTAATGCTATTTTCCAAACAAGCTTTTCGGGGAACTGCTGGAATGCCGCCGGCAAGGCGCGGCTTCTGCTAGCAAACCAGCCGAGTAATTCGTGAAGTGCGCTGTCTTGGGTTTTTTTCTGGACTCCTTCGGGGCTTATCTTCAGGCTTCCAAAGTCTTCGGAAGCGCATGGGCCAAAAGGCCCAATTCATTCGTGTCTCGTACGATTTGGAAAGATTTGGGCTTCTCGGGGGTGTTATTGGGTGGCTCCGCGGCCACTTGGGGCGGTCTCGGAGCGGTATTTGGGTTTCTTGGAGCATGCGGGAAACAATGTTGATCCATCTTGGGCTATCTTGAACCATCTGTGAGACCGCGTTGCATTCTGCGAGGTCATGCCGGCTCTATCTTTGACCGTCTCGGGCGCTCCAGCGACCCGCCGCCCCCCACTGCAGAAGGAGGGGGGGGGAGGGGTGCATCCATCCCCGAAGGGAAGACTGGGGGTTGTTGGAACAGGAAGCGCTCTAAACCACCTCCGTCCTCAGATCTGGGGGCATTGCGTTTCCCCCTTGGTCTGACCACGGCGGGAAGTGGGGCATGGAGGGCGGGGCGAGGGCCGCGGGCCCGAGCAGGGGAGAGGGGGGGGGACGAGAGGGAGGACCAGGAAGGTTAATAAGGTGAGAAACGGGAGGGGGGGGGAGGGGGGGCTCCAGAAGGCGGGCAGGGGGGAGGTGGCGTTTCCGGGGGGAGGAGGTGGAGGGAGGCTGGAATAATGAGGGCGCGTGAAAGAGAAGAGGAGGTGGAGAGAGGTGGGAGGAGGAAAGAGAAACGGAAGGAGAGTGGCGCCTCCGTCGGGCCGGGCCCGGAGGGGCCCCAAGGGCGGGGGGCGGCCGCATCAGGTTTGGTTTCTGAAGAACCTAGGGCGCCAGGCGGCGGCCCCCTGCCCGCCAGCGGGGGGGGCCACCAAAAGGCCCTGTCCTGTCGCGGTACGTTCGCTTGTCGCCCGACAGCGAAATCGCGCGCTCGATCTTCGACCCTCGGGGAGGGGGGGAGACCGCCCCCTTTGGGGGGCTCCCGCCTGTCGGGGGCAACCTACGAGTGTTTTGGGTTTGTTCGCCTTCTGGGGGTACTTCGCAGATTCCTTTTTTGGCGCGCCTCCCCCAGGGGCGACTTCTGGGAAAGGCTCAGGCAAGCGTGTGCTGATGTTTCAAGGAACCGCGCCCCCAAAGTAGGTCGGAAAGTAGGTTTGCAGAATTTGTTGTTGCAAAGTAGGTTCCAAAGAAGGTTCCCGGACTCCAAAAGTAGGTTTTCGGTAGCGCAAAGTAGGTTTCGGAGGCCTCAAAGTAGGTTTTAGGAGCCTCAAAGTAGGTTTGGGGGGCCTCAACGTAGGTTTCAAACCTACTTCAAACCTACTTCAAGCCTACTTCAAACTTACTTCAAACCTATTTCAAACCTACTTCAAACCTATTTCAAACCTACTTCAAACTGCTTTCGGGGGCATGGAGGGTCAGGGATTGAAGGTAGGAGGAGGAGGAGGTGGAGGAGAATGTGGGGGAGGAAGAGGAGGAGGAAGAGGAATGTTGGAGGAGGAGGAGGTGGATGAGGAGAGCCGGGAGGAGGATGTGGAGGAGGAAGAAGACGAGGAGGAGGAGGAGAGCCAGGTCGAGGAAACGGAGGGCCAGGAGGAAGGAGGAACAGGAGAGAGGAGTAGGAGGAGGAGGGCCAAGAGGATCCTGAGGATCGGGTGGAAGATGAGGGGCGGATGAAGGGAGGATGAGGGAGAAAAGGTAGGAACAAGGGGGGGAATATGAGGAGGAGGAGGAGTAGGAGGAGGAGGAGGAGGAGGAGGAGGAGGAGGAGGATGAGGAGGAGGAGGGGGGGGCGGGGAGGACGGGGAGGATCGGGGGCAGGAGGATAAGAACATGGATGCTGCGGCTGACGAGGGAGAGGATGGTGAGGCAAGGGGGGCGATGATGGGAAGCATGATGTGATTGATGACGAGTGGCTTTGGGGAGGGCAGAATGACCTTGGGCGGGGCGGCCGTGATAATGAGGAGGAGCCGTGGCGCGTCCGAACCCCGCCGGGACACGGCATGGGGGTCTTGCTGGGGTGGTGATTGTCGGTGGCGGCCCGGCTTGTCCAGGATTCCTTGAATTGCGTTGTTCGCCGTGCCAGTTGCTGGGGCTGCCCCGATTGAGTTTTTGGGCCACCCATTGTCTGGCTGCTTTTCTGGCGGGTCGTGTTTGCGGAGGTCTTCTCCGCAGCCGCTCTCGTTAATTTTCTATGTTTAGTGCCCGAGGGTGCGTCGCGCGAAAAGTGTCGCGGCCCCTGCCTGAAATGCAGCCCTGGCGCCCTTTCCATTGCAAACCTTCTTGGCGAGGTTACCGCGGCCAGGGGGCGTCCCCGGGTGCACTTGCCAGGGCTACTTTGGCGGATTCGCTTCGCCAACTTAGCTGCCCGCGGCATTTGCGCCGACGCGCTTTGGCAAACCCAGTAACGGGAAGCTATATGCCCGATGACACGTTTTCTTTGCGTGTTGCACCTTTTTCTTGGAACCTACTATGCTTGCGAACCTATCTCCCGAACCTACTGTTGAACCTATCTAAAACCTATATCGAAATGTTTTCTGCTCGCCATTGCCCTGCATTGCTGGGGAAGTCTCGGCTATACGACCACCCTTCGGGTGAGAAGGAGGTTGTGCGTGGGGGGGGGGGGGGGGGAGACGGGGGGGAACCGACATCTGACTCAATCGATCTCACTATCGATCTCACTCAACGGGACACCATAGGACACTACGGGATGTTTGTCGATCTCACTATCGATCTCACGATCGATCTCACCCAACGGGACACCACGGGACACCACGGTACACAACGGTACACCGCGGGATACCTCTCGATCTCACTATCGGTCTCAGTATCGATCTCACTATCGATCTCACTCAACGGGTCAACGGGACACCTCGGGGCGCCACATCGATCTCACTCTCGATCTCACTATCGATCTCACGATCGATCTCACTCAACGGGACACCACGGCACACCTGTCGATCTCACTATCGATCTCATTATCGATCTCACTTTTTGGGACACCACGGGACACCTCGGGGCACCACATCGATCTCAGTATCGATCTGACTATCGATCTCATTATCGATTTCACTATCGATCTCACTATCGATCTTACTCAACGGCGGACGGACGGACGGGCGGGCGGAGGATAATCATTTGTTTTGACTTCGCCCTAGCAACGGCGGACACCACGGGACACCGCGGGACACCGCGAGCTACCGCCGGACGGACGGACGGACGGGCGGGCGGGGGAGAATCATTTGTCGCGACTTCGCCCTAGCAGCGGTGGATTCATTCCTCTCGCGCGCCCACGCAGCTTCACCTCGCCCGCACGCACGGCACGAACGAAACGAAACGATTTCCTGGCTGGGGGTCCCCATCCCGCTGCGATCTCGCCCCCCAGCCTCCGATAGCCTCGCCTGTCTTTTTGTGTGATCACCCTCTGGCCTCTCCAAGGGGCTGCCTTATCCTTCCCTTGCCCTCGCCCCCCTCCCTGCACCCAGCTGCTGCCTCCTCCCCCGCTGCTGCTCCTTCCCCGCGTCCCCCGTAGCGCCGCCGCCGTGCTCCTTTCCGCGCGTGGCGCCCCCGTGGGGCAGCGGCGGGCCTCGGCAACCCACGGCGCGGGGGCCCGAAAGCCCGGCGGGCGGTGCTGCCCCGAGCCGGGGAGCTGCCCGGTCCCACGGGTGCCCCCGCAGGGGGGGCCGCCTGGAGCAGTGCAGCCTCGACAAGTTTTTCTCCCCCCCCCGTCCTCTCCTCCTTCGCCTCCTCGCCCTCCTCCTCCTCCCCTCTCTCTCTCTCTCTCCCCTCCTCTGTGCCGTTGCTCGGGCATCAGGCTGAACCTGCTGCGTGCGGAAATGGTGCAGAAACAGGTCGCCGACCTAGGCGAGGCGGCAAACTGATCAGGCCACGGACGGGTGCGCAAAGAGAAGGGCAATGAGGCAAGCAACACA